TCTTGTCCAACCCCCAAGAACAAAAGCAAAGCGGAACTCATGTCAGAGGCCATTTCTCATTTATCACAGATAAGAGCCATAGAACCAGTTCTGGAGAAACAGAAAGGGCGGGGGTTTTACTCCAATCTTTTTGTCGTTCCAAAGTCCTCGGGGGGCTGGAGGGCAATTTTGGACCTAAAGAGCCTCAATTACTACCTAACTTACAGGAAGTTCAAGATGCAATCGCTTCAATCAATCCTAGCCAGCATCAGAAAAGGGGACTTCCTGACTTCAATAGACTTAACGGAGGCATACTTACACATACCTATCCTCCCTGGGCATCGCAAGTTCCTCAGATTTTGCTATGTCCACCAGCATTACCAATACAAAGCACTTCCATTCGACCTCTCCTCGGCCCCCTGAGTGTTCACAAAGTTATTGGCGGTGTTAGCCGCCCACCTGACACAAACTCCAATCCGTGTCCAGTGCTACCTGGACGATATCCTAATACAGTCTCCATCCTTCCAGCAGGCTCAATCGGACCTAACTTGTAGCATCAAAGCCCTTCAGACTCACGGGTTTTCAGTCAACTTTCAGAAGAGCCAGACAGTTCCATCCACCCGTCTCCTCCATTTGGGGGCGGTCATCGACACAAACACTTGCACAGTCTCTCTGTCACAGGACCGACGGGACAGCATAGGGGCACTAGTCCTTCGGGTTCAGAGGGAGCGGGTGGTCTCACTGGCATTGTTGTCACAACTCTTGAGGAAGATGGTGTCCTGTAAAGCAATTGTACCTTGGGCACACCTTCACGCCAGGGAACTACAGTGGGTTTTGCTTCCGTTCCAGAGGCTACGCATCAGCGCTTCCAACCGGAAGGTTCGAGTCCCGCATTAGGCACTGAACTCCCTTCGGTGGTGGGCCTCCCCAGCAATGACAAGGGGCACCCAGTTCAAGGAACCAGTGAGGATTACCCTGACAATGGACGCCAGCCTCTTCGGCTGGGGAGCGCACCTCCAGTCAGAACTGGCTCAGGGCCGGTAGTCCCAGACAGACTTACAGAACAATATAAACTGGTTGGAGCTCAGGGCCATACATCTAGCCTTACGCCACTTCAGCAGCAGGGTGGCGGGACAGCATGTCTTAGTGCTCACAGACAATATTGCTGCAAAGGCTCATGTGAACAGACAAGGGGGAACCAGATCCAGGCCTCTCATGGAAGAGGCCCAGTTGTTGGGGACTTGGGCGGAAAACAATCTGTCTTCCATCAGAGCGGAACACATCTCCAGAGAGGCAAATCATCAGGCGGACTCTCTAAGCAGGTCAACAGTGGCGCCTGGAACCCGACTTGTTCAGGGAGATTGCGGACAGGTTTGGTCACCCTGTGCTAGATCTCTTTGCCTCTCCAACCAATTCCCAACTCCCAAGGTTTTTTTCCAGGTTCCCATATCGGGGAGCAGAGGGGACGGATGCCCTCCGCAGTCCCTGGCCCAGGGAGCTGTTGTATGCCTTTCCTCCTCTTCCTCTGATTCCGACGACAATCTGCAAGATCCTACACGAATGGGCGGAGGTCATCCTGATTGCTCCACATTGGCCAAGACGCCGGTGGTTCGCCGATCTGGTGGAGCTTTCCATCTCCCACCCGTGGAGGATTCCCTCAGGTCGTATCGCCCTAAACCAGGGAGCCCTTCAGCATCCAGATCCCCAGTGTCTCCAACTAACCGCTTGGCATTTGAGCAGCGGGCCTTGACCCAAAACTCATTTTTGTCAAGGGTGATAGCCATGATCCAGCAATCCAGGTGCCCCTCCATGAATAGGATTTATGATGCCACATGGAGGAGTTTCTGTACCTGGTGTTCAGGGCACAAAGTAGAGCTTTCGGACATCACTATTCCGATTGTTCTGGAATTCCTGATGGATGGGCTGGACAAGGGGTTAGCCCCAAACACCATCCGCAGACAGGTTTCTGCCCTCTCCTCGGTGATCCAGTGTGACAATTCCGCCCCCTTGGCGCAACATCCTACGGTGCATTCTTTCCTAAAAGCAACTAATGCCAAGCCTCCGGCGGTACACCGTTATTCCTCTTGGGACCTACCCCGAGTCTTACAGGCCCTCACCTCACCACCCTTTGAGCCCATTACCACGTGCTCCCTGAAACTGTTGTCTATGAAGGTGGCCTTCCTTGTAGCCGTCACGTCGGCCAAGCGAATTTCAGAGCTGGCCGCCCTCTCTGTCAGAGGACCTGTGCGTTTTCCATGTAGACAGGGTGACCCTGCGCCTGGATCCTTCCTTTGTTCCCAAGGTTAATTCCTTGTACCATAGATCCCAGGAGATAGTGCTTCCTAATTTCTGTCCTAACCCGACTCACGATCTAGAAAAGCAATGGCATACTCTGGACGTTTGCAGGGCCCTGCGACGTTACATCAAAAGGACTTCCGCATTCCGTAAATCCGAGGCACTGTTTGTTTCCTTTCAGCCCTTGTCCATGGGTCAGAAGTTTCCTCCTCGACCGTAGGCAGGTGGATCCCGGCTTGCATTGTTCAAGCTTATCGATCCCAATCACTGACCGTCCCCAGTCGCATCACTGCCCTTTCCACCCGCAGTGCAGCTACATCGGCGGCTTGGGATACCCAGGCACCTATCGGGGAGATCTGCAGGGCGGCTATGTGGTCCTCGCCTTCCTCGTTTGTCAAGCATTATAGGATTGACAAATTTGCCTCCTCGGATGCTTCATTCGGACGGAGGGTGTTATAGCAAGTGGTATCTACCAGTGGAACTCAGGCCCAAACTGCTTCCCCCACTTAGGGACAACAGGTCTTTGGTATGTCCCACTAGTGGATTCTCCATCCAATCATGCTGGAGAAGGGGTGTTGTCTTACCTGAACGCCTTTTCTCAGTATGATGATGGAGAATCCACACCCTCCCATTGTAGTATCCGTTTGGGCCTATGTACAATATAGGATGAGCACATGCGTCAGACTAATGTCTGCGCTTCGCCTTCGTCGCAAACTGGGGTGCTCTGGAACAGCAAAGGCGTGGCAACTTTCCAGACTTAGTCTTATTGGAGCAGGAAGATTAAGACAACCCACTAGTGGATTCTCCATCATCATGCTGAGAAAAGGCGTTCAGGTAAGACAACGCCCGTTCCAGTACAAAAGGAAAATGAACTAACAGCTTAGATAATTTTTTAAAAATTGAAGTAAATAGCAAAAAGCGTAATAAGAAGGTAATCTAAAAAAGTTACAGATGAATTAACCAAACAATTTTGGAATATTAGGACATTTGCTAACAGTTTTGGGAAATAATTAAACCAAACAGTACCTTTGTGGGAACGTAAATTTTTTCATCTGTTAGAAAATAAACAAGCAATAGCCATTTGAGATTTTCCAGTTTTAGAAATGAAACACTAGGCAGAAGAAAGGACGAAAGGGGAGAGAAAAACCTATCTTGTGGAATCTACAAAATGACAAACAATGCTATAACATTTAGAGACATTTTGGGAAATTTTTAAGGAATGGGGTGAGAAACTACAATGTCAGCAACAATTTTGCTTTTATGGATGTATTATTTGCAAAAGATTTTAAAGAAGTGAAAGATATGAAAGAGAATATTTTGGAAGACTGACAGGATAAAAGGGATAAACAAATATTACCTGATGCAGATATACTAACAAATTCTGAATTATAAGACAGAGATGACAAACATAAAGGAAACATAAATGATAACGCAAGAGAATGACCTGGATAACTTTATTACTGGATTTACAAATGAGGGTTGATAAACATTTGAAGAAACCTTTGAAATGAAAGAAAGAAAAAAAATTGAAGGGAGATCAAATCCTACAACAGCTTCTGAATGAATTAAGGACTAATATACAGAATCTTAAGGAAACAATACAAAGTTGATTTGTTTGATTGGAGTTAAAATAAGACATATTTTTATAAAATTCTGAGAACCTTTTACAAACTTTTTGCGGACATCTGAATTGAAGTATTAATTGTTCATGAATTTATGAATGGCCAAGGGATGATTATGGGGAGAGGTGATCCATGTATGTAACTTTTGTGGAAGGTGGAGAAATGCTGCATTTGTTATACTTATGATGAAGACTGGAATTCATTTCTTTAAATATTGCTTTTTTAAAACTCTCTTTTTTCTTTGCACTTTTCTTTTTTCTATTTTTTCTCTCTAATCTCAATTTGTATTTTATTATTTAAAATTCTTAATAAAAAGTTATATATTTATATAATTATATAAACATAAATGGCTTTGATAATCAGAAAGTGCTTCTGGCCTTAATAAAAGATAGAGGTTTTCCTGTCTGACAGTGCTCATCTCTGTTTCTTGGCCGAGGGAGCTAGCATTGTCCAAAGACAATTTCCATGGTCATGTGGCCAGCATGGCTATATGCCAAGGGCACACGGAACACTGTTACCTTCCCACCGAAGTGGTACCTATTAATCTATTGGCATTTGCATGCTTTTGAACTGCTAGGTGGGCAGGAACTGGGGCAAGTTCCTGCCCACCTAGCACTGATGGTGTTACCTAGTTTGGGTAATGAAATGTTTGCAAGAAAACAAGCAAGCTCCGAGAGCACCAAGGACCCCTCATATTAACCCTGAGCTACAAATATAGTTCTCACTGTCAGAAAATTTCTCCTTATTTCTAGGTTGAATCTCTCCTTGATCAGTTTCCATCTGTTATTCCTTGTCTGGCGTCAGGTGCTTTGGAAAATAGGTTGATCTCCTTCTCTCTATTCTCCTTTATTAGTATTGGGGCAAGTAATGAGAGTTCACCCCATTGTGTGGAGGTTGGGTCTCGAACCCAGACTGTCAGCTCTCCAGCTGACAAGGTCAAATACATTTCATCTATGTCCAGAAATTATATAAAAACCTATACTCATTTTGAAATAGTTCCTTATTATGTAATAGAAATGTTGAGTAAATTTGGGTTTTTTATTTTTTTTAAAAGGAAGAAATATAGGCTGTTGGGAATGTAATAGTTTTCTCTTTTGTCTTTAGTCCACAAACCTAAATTACTGTAAAAAAGGGCCTGTTGTTCTCCTTGGGAGTGGTCTTGATCCAGGTCAACAGCTGCTGTTAAGCAAATTGGCCACAGTTTTGAAGGTTAGAGTATGTACAGAATTTAACAGTTCCGGTAAGTTGTCAGCTTTATTTAATATAATAATATTTTATTGTTTAGCGATAAGGCTGTACAAAATACAGAATTATATAATAAGACAAGGGTAACAAGATACAGTAAAAGGCAAAACTAAAAGGAAATACAAATTGTATTTCTGGGTCACCTTTCATAATTTGGGGAATGCGGTACTGTACTGTTTTGTTCAAATAAAGGGCCATGTATTTGGGTTCTGGATGCACATGAAATATGTTGTGGTAATGTATGGATCTCAATAGGCCATTTGTTTAAAATGTGACCTAAGATATTGATCTCTATCTTTTTTACACAATTGGCATGCAAATAATGTATGAGCTATGTCCTCTGCATTTGGAGTTCCACCAATACATGTACGTTTGTCATAAGAAACTTGGTTAAAGCTTCCATATTTAACAATTGTTAAAATTGTCAAATGGAGCAATGTATGAAGCAAGAAATAGAGGAAAATGCTAATGTGTTTTCAGCTCCAGGATTTCCCCCTCAGCACTTCCATAAACATTGTTTTTAATTTGATCTCAAGTGCCTCCTCTTAAGTGGAAGAATAGATTTAAATTTCCTGCGTCATTTGTTACTAGTATATTTATTATTTTAGTTTCTTTTATAATCATAAACTTGAGGGGTATGTATTCCAATATAAGAATCTACTATTGTAGTATCCCTAATAGAAGACCATTCAGCTTTTGTGTAAACAGCTCCAGCAAATCTCCAGAGGCAGTTCTTTTATATTGAAAAGTTCTTAATGTTCAGAATTTTTGCCTAATGACCAATTCAATTCTACTTCCCTATAATTTAAGCACACTAATTTCTAATATTTTGGAACTTTTTGACCACAGAATTTTACCTATTAGATTACGGAGTAGATTATGATCATAATGGTAACTGTAACATAATGGTAAGAAGGATACTTAAAAAAACATATATCATTACTTTTTTAATTCATAAGGATTTTTGTTCTGGTAACTATTTCTCAGAGGTTGAAAACTTTAACATAATAGTGATAGATCCGTATATTGTCTGCTGATATCTGGCAGTTTCTCATTTCCCTGTCTTCCTAAGTCCATTGTCTCCCGTTCAGGGAATACTTGAGTCTATGGAGTGTAAGAAGCTTTTTGAAGAATATAATGCTTCTCTTCCTTTTGTGGGAACTATTCTGCCTGTGTTGTAGGCTAGTGACTGTAAAATTGAATTATTCTTTGAATATGAAGGATCAAATCAGTTGTGGTTTGTTTACACAGGGAAGAATTCATCCTGCAGTTTATACATTTTAACTCTCATTTTAGTGACACATGTCGTTATTCCTGCATATCCTGCGCGAACTACTATGAAGTGCATGCTGGCACTTTTATCTGGATGTTGGATCTTGACATTTATGTGTAAGTAATTGAATTTGGGGGGGGGGGTATTTAAGAAAAACATATGTTTGAGATGATGGCACAAAGATAACAGGAATGTAGCATCGATGCTATTTTTCAACACTTTTCAACAATTCTCATAAGCAATAATCCTATAATTATGCAAAATGTTTTGAATATCTCCAAGCTTACAACAGTTATTCCAAGTTCAAGGCAGTATAATATGTACTCAACAGTTTTGTTTTGACAGCAGTATAAAAAATCTGTACTTATTGTAATTGATTATCAAAAATGCTTACAAGATAGCAATAAACAAGAATCATAATATGCTGATTTCCCATGGTAGATTAACAGTATTATGAAAAATTAAATGGGTGTGCAATTTGAAAGAGTAAATACCTATTCACAATTGGATAATACAAATTTATCTTAGAGAATTGTTATAACACCACTCTGCTGTTGTTTAGAAGAGCTGTGAAGACCCGACTCTTCACCCAGGACAGGTAAAGGCTGCTCCAGGAACACACTTCAAGAGTTGAAATTTGGATCACGTTGTTTGGTACTTTTGCCATATATATCACACATAGCATTCCTTTCATTATAGCATCTTCTGCCAATTGCATTCTATTTGTACAGTAATGTGTTATATTTAGATTTATGAAAAATAGCCCTGATAACTAAAAGGCAAATTTATATTTGTATTTTTACTTAAATTTGTATTGAAAGACAAAAAGGATCAGTACAAAAAAAAGGAAAGAGGGACACATAACTAAGTCAGAATATTAGCAGATAGTCCGAATCTACCCAAGTCAAAAAGCAAAGGCTCAGAATGAACAAAGGCTTGCAACAGAAGTCAAAGATAATAAAAAAGTTTCTTTCAACATATAAATAACAAGAAAAGAGTCAAGGAAACAGTCAACCCACTAAAGAGAGAAGATGGCAAGGAAGTAACAGGCTGTAGAGAGAAAGCAGAGCTGCTTAATTCATTGTTTGCATCAGTTTTCATGCAAAAAGAAACTATTGCCCAACCTACCAAAAACATAACTGTAAAAGACAGACTAGAAATAAAAATTAAAATAAGCAAGAAAATGGTAAAAGAACACCTATCTGACCTTGATGAATATAAATCACTGGGACCTGATGGGTTACCTCCCAGAGTTCTGAAAGTGCTGGCAGAGGTTGTCTCCAGGATTTTTTAAAAATATGGTATAATGGTTCTCATTATACCATGTCTTTAAAAAATCCTGGAGCACTGGGGAGCTACCAGAGGATTGGAAAAGAGCTGATGTGGTTCCCATCTTCAAAGAAGGAAAAAAATAGACTAAGGAAACTACAGCCCAATCAACCTAACATCAATACCTGGGAAGATACTGGAAGAGATAATCAAAAAACAAATCTGTGAACATCTAGAAACAAATAAAGTTATAACTAGAAGCCAGCATGGGTTTGTTAAAAACAGATCATGCCAAATCAATCTTATTTCATTCTTTGATAAAGTGACTAAATAAGTAGACCAGTGAAATGCTGTGGACATAATATACTTAGACTTCAGCAAGGCATTCAACAAAGTAGACCACAATCTAGTGCTTGGTAAGCTAGAAAAATGTGGAATAGACAACATCGCCACCAGATGGATTTGTAGCTGGCTGACAAACCATACTCAACGAGTAGTCCTTAATGGTATTACATCCACATGGAGGGAAGTAAGCAGTGGGGTACCACTAGGTTCTGTCTTAGGCCCAGTACTCTTCAATATCTTCATAAATGACTTAGATGAGGGAATAGAAGGGGAATTCATCAAATTTACAGATTACACTATGCTGGCAGGAATAGCCAGCATCCCAGAAGACAAGCTCAGGATCCAAAAAGATCTTGACAAACTTGAACAATGGACCCTATCCAACAACATAAAATTTAATGTGGAGAAAAGCAAGGTTTTACACTTAGGCAGGAAAAACCAAAGGTACAAGTACAGATTAGGCAAAACCTGGTTCAAAAATAGTCACTGTTAGAGGGACCTTGGAGTCCGAATGGACGATCACTTAAACATGAGGCAGCAGTGTGCAGCAGCAGTAAAAAAAAGCTAATAAAATCCTTAGTTGTATAAATAGAGGCATAGAATCAAAATCATGTGAAGTATTATTACTGCTTTATAAAGCCTTAATAAGGTCACATCTTGAATACTGCATCCAGTTTTGGTCACCACATTACAGAAAAGATGTTAAGACTTTGGAAAAAGTGAAAAGAAGAGCAACTAAGATGATTAAGGGCCTGGAAACAAAAACATATGAAGAATGGTTGCGGGAACTGGGTATGGCCAGTCTAAAAAACAGAAGGACTAGGGGTGACATGATAGCAATATTCCAGCATTTGAGAGGCTGCCACAAGAGGAAGGAGTCAACTTATTTTCCAAAGCACCAGAAGGCAACAATGGATGGAAACTACTCAAGGAGAGAAGCAACCTGGAATTAAGGAGAAACTTCCTAACAGTGAGGACAATTAACCAGCTTGCCTTCAGACGTTGTGGGTGCTTCATCACTGGAGGTTTTTAAAAAAGGTTGGACTAGAAGATCTCCAAGCTCCCTTCCAGCTCTATTCTGATGGATTGACTACTTTGATTTCTTAAGTCTCATCTAGTATTGAGCCTTTCTCTTAGCCTGGCACATGTTCCAGCCAGTCATCTTCTGTCCATCTATTGTCTTCATGATTTTTTTCCTAATCCTTCAATTCCCCCTCCCCAAACCCACTTCTGGATTTGCAGAAAATAACTACATTTTCTTTTTTTTTTACTTTCTTTTCCTACTTTTAGGGGTAGAAGCCAGCTTGAAGAGTGGCACTTTTGAACAAGAAGAGAAATATGAAATAGATGGTGGTCCTCGACAAGGCCGCCTGAACACAGAACAGCTTGTGAGGACTTTTTTTATCAGTGTTTCAGTTATATTGTTGTGATAGCTTGGAATTTTTGTCATTTTATCTTTGTTTTTCCAGACAAGGGAAGAATAGTGCTTTGTTTCAGCATTTGGTTTTGAGAAATGATAGCTAAATTAAATTAGAAATGTAATTTTTAACTGTAAACGGATTTTTATTGTCAATAAATGTTCCAAAATATTCAGGTTTTTGGTAAGTTTTGGAAAAATGTTTACAGCTATTACCTGAAGTAGAATGGATTCATCTTTGATAAATTTTAACACATCAGTAATTTTGGTTAGCAAAACTGTTTGATAGCCTTGTCCTGTTGTGTATGTTGTTATGCAAACATGTAAATTATAATTAACATGTCCTACTGAATCTTCAGCTTGTTTCTCCTCCCACATCTAGTAATATTTTGTAATCATTTGTTAATTAAGTTTAAACACATGCACCCCAAGTTCAGATTATTTTAATCCATATATGAAGTTTAGCCCCTTTCATCTCTTCACCTGTTTCTACCAGCTTCTTCTGTTGCAAAGCTCCACATATTTTTTGTCTATTTGATCTATTTGCTATCCCTCATTTCTACAACATAACTGATGTGAATTTTTTTATGATCTTTTTGTTTCCTTTTTCCTCACATTCCATTTCTTTCATCCAAAGGATTGTTTACTCTTTTTTTATCCCTAAGAATAGGCTACATGTCTGATTTCCTCCTTTGGAACTATTCCTCTTGTCTTCTTGTTTGTTGTTCTGTTTTGTCCCATTTTTGCCAATTCTGGGCTCTTGTTTCTATCTTCACCCTTTTTTTTTCCAGCAGCTTCTAGTCCTTAATTTGTTGCTGGTTGATTTGGTATTTTACATGCCATACAAAAATTATAGCTCGTAGATCAACAGAAGCTAGTTAAACTAATATTTAGACTGGGGCATGAGAACATAATTGATTGTAGAGGTTTATTAAATAAGAAATTGTGGCTTTATCTCAATTGTCAGCTGCATAGATGAGAACAATCTATTCTTTATTCCAGTTGCCTAAACTTTTTGATGGCTGCTACTTCTATTTCCTGGGAATATTTAAAGAGCACAAGAAAGATGACCTCAAAGAACTGGTGAAATCTGGAGGGGGACATATTCTCCTAAGGAAGCCTAAATCAGATAATGATGTGACTCAGACAATCAATACAGTAGCCTATCATGCTGAGATTACTTCTGACCAGAGTTTCTGTACACAATATATAATCTATGACGCCTCTTCTAACTACAAACCACAAAAAGTTCATCAAGGAAAGGTTTGGGAAGTGCCCTCCAGGTGGCTTATTGACTGTGTGATGTCATTTCAACTGTTGCCTGTTAAAAATGCTTTTCCTAGCATTGTGATAACATAAATGCTGAGATTTAAATTTTACTGAAATTTTATTAAAAGATACTGAAATTATGTACTGAAACAAATAGATACACTTAGTTCTTGGGAGGAAGATTGTATACAATTGAATTATTCCTCAAATCTTAACATGTATATTTTAAATAATAATAATAATTGAAGATTCAGATTCCCAAAATCTATTGATTGTTGATATTAGCGGAGTTCTCCTTTTTATTTGTGTTCTGTAAACTATATTATTATTGGATATACTGAAATTATCATTCTATATTGAGATCTTACAAAATCTCAGAAAGCTTGATCAGTACCATTCTGGTTACTGTGATCTTAATATGAGCCTCAGCTCATATTAATGATTTTTTTCTCATTTTCTACATGGTGAAATTAACATTGTCACTGAATTTGTTTAAAGAGATTACTTAGATGTATAATCATGAATTCTGTGCTTCTGTTGAAAGATTCGTTCTTCTTTAATGTTTTTGTATCACAAATAAATCACATTCTGAAACATTACCGTGCAAGACTTTTATTTAAATCTGAGTTTATTTGTGTGTGAGAAAGAGGGAAAGAAAGCACTCAATATAACAAATCCTCACAATCAGTAAAGAGCTTGCAATATAATCAATCCTCACAATCAATAGAGTCCTTTCAATTATAGGTCAGGATTGAATTGAATCAAATGATTTTACAACGTGAAAAGATAAGGATCAGTTTTCTCAAATGGGTTAGTCTAGGGAGGCAATTTGCAGGCATCCAGATGTTAATGGAAGGTGGGCCAAGGGAAGTTAGAGTTCAACTTCACATTTTGTTACTTTTCCCTCTTTAATCTTTAATTGAAACATCATTTGACACTCTTTGGACATGTCTGTGGTGTTACAAGGTGCAAGAATCAATATTTCTAAAAAAAACCAACCTGTAGCCTTATAGATGTTGGATTTCTCCCAGCCCCAGGCAGTGTGGACAATGCCTTGAAACAATAACATTCTATTTTATCAATTCTATGCTATATTTCCACCCTTTCATCTTTTGACTTAAATGAAAGAACTGTATTTCTTAACTGTTTAGGGAGATGAATAACATAGTAAATGCTAGACACAGTTATCTTGGATTAGTGACATGGTGCCTCTTTTATTTAACTCCTTTCACTTTTCTTCTGTCCAGCTGCCTTTTAGCAGAAGCAAAAGCAGCATCTAATCTCCAGCACAATAATACCACTTATGCTAAGTTACCTGTTACAATACATTCATCAAAATTTGTAGTAAAAATGCAATAGCAACAAGAAGAATAGAGAAATACTGTACCTGTCAGATCTGCCTGGCTTGGCTTGGGGGGGCCTCACAAGCATCCTGACAAAAAAGGGGGAGGATGAAAGGCGAAAAAAGGGGGAGGAATGATGAAAGAGGGAAAGATGAAAGGGCAATAAAGCTTTGTGCATGATAGAAAATCAGGAGGGGAATGACAGGTGAGAAGGACCAGAGCAGCTGGGATCCTGTTTGTACCAGCATCCCACGGCCAGGCACCCTGAGAAGTATGCAAATTACCCCCAAACATCTCACAAGTTCTCAAAAATCTTAGCGAGCTCCAGTTGGCTAGAAACAGACTGGTCACAGGGGAGAGATGGGATGGAGGCAAACCTACACCTTATTTTTGTATCCAGCAAGTGTGGATTTCAGAGCTGGCTTGACTTTACTGCAACCATCACTCTTAGTAACAGAACCCTTTGCTTTAACCAAATGGAGTTGAAGACTTTTCTTTGATCAGGTCTGACAGTACCTATGCCTCATGCAGAGACAATGGAGGAAAGCTGACTCTGCTATGTATTTTTTTTTTTTTTTTTACTTTTTGGGGGCTTTGTAAAATGAGAATTCTAAAAGTACTTTTCTAATTACAGTGTATTCAGAAAGTATTCAGACTCCCTTCACTTTTGTCAATTTTGTTACATTGCAGCCTGATTCTACAGTTGCTGAAATTCATTTTTTTTCTCATTAATCTACATTCAGTACCCCATAATGACAGTGAAAACAGAATTTTAAAAATGTAAATTTATTAAAAAGAAAAAAATGAAATAACACTTTCAGTGATATTTCAGATCCTTTGCAACAACACTTGAAATTTAGCTCAGGTGCCTCCCAGTTCTCTTGATCGTTGCTGACATGTTTCTACACCTTGCTTGGAGTCTACCTGTGGTAAATTAAATTTATTAGACATGATTTGGAAAGACATACATCTCTATAGAAGTCACAGCTGATAATGCATACTGCAGCAGAGCAAAAGCCATGAGGTCAAAGGAACTGCCTGCAGAGCTCAGAGACAGGATTATTGCAAGGCATAGATCTGGGGAAGACTACAACAAATTTTCTGCGGCACTGAAGGTTCCTAAGAATACTGTGGCCTCCATAATTCTGAAATGGAGGAAGTTTGGCACAACCAGGACTCCTGGTCACCCGGTCAAACTGAGCAATCGGAGGAGAAGGGCCTTAGTAAGTGTTGGGATATGGAGGCCAGGTAGCTGTAGCATGGTTAGGCCCATGGTCACCATGTGAACCAGGAACCTAGGCAATGAAAGAAGCATTAAGGTTCATATGCTGTTTGCACGTGAGTAACTAGAGATGCATGAAAGCAAGTAGGGAAAAAGCACAACAACAGGCTATGCGTAGAAGAACAACATAACCCAATATAAGCAACCCCACCCTATGCAGCAAATTATAGCCAATAATAGAGCATAGAGCTATGTGACAAAATGTAACCAATTGCATAATAGCACGCACTTATTTTCCTACATATGTAACTGTATGTAACCAATTATATAATAACATGTACTAACTTCCTACACATGTAACCAATTATGTATTGACACCTGCTCACTTCCTCATATATGTTGCCAAATAAAGGAGAAGCTCAGAACACGCCCTGGGCTCACTCACCTCGAGGAAAACCTGTGTGTTGTCTTCTCTTGCTTGCCAAGACTCATGAGTGGCCCACCCTAATGTGGCAAGGCAAAAACGCCGCATTTTGGTGACCCCGACGTGATTTCTGCGGAGATACGTCTCGGACCGCCCATACCCACTCGCCTGAGGGAGGCTATGCACATTCGTCCCGTCTGAAACACAACTGGATACTCGTGAGTATGGGAGGAAAGCTCTCTCAACAACAGGTCGCACACCTGAAGGAACTGAGGGAACTAACCGAATCTTCCAAAAAATTTGCTTCAAACAAGGGTAAATCACTCCCTCGATTGAAAAGCAATGATTTAATTGGCTTTCTGACATACATTTGGCAACACTTTCCATCGTACCCAGAAAAGGGGAGTTTTAAATTAAGTACATGGACCAAATTAGGAGAATGTCTCCACTCGGCTCCTAGAGCCCCGATGCACGTTTTAACCACATGGCGTGCGGTCATGGAATGTCTCATGATTCATCATAAATTTGATAAACAAACACCAATGGATTCTGCGCCTCCTCCGTATGAATCCACAAAACAGGATCAGGCAAACTTATATCCTGTTTTGCAACACTCTGATAAGGCCTCCGCTCTCACCGCACCCACCTGCTCTGCTCCATCCGGTCCGTTTCCAGCCGGAGGACATGTCATTAGAGCCATGATAGAAGCACGAAGCAGAGGAGAGCTGGACGGTGATGAGCTAGAAGCCTGTGCAGCATTTCCGGTAGATTTCATTCTCCCAGCAAATGCTGCGGCTGGTGCAGATGGAGCTGCGCCAGCAGCTGTTCCTGTTTACAGTCCTTTGAACTTTAAGCTAATAAAGGAACTGAAATCAGCTGTTTCTACTTATGGCTTGCAAGCTCGCTATACGCAAGGGGTTTTGTTTTCTTTAACTTCAGCTACTAGAGAAATGCTTTTAGCTGATTGGCAAGCGCTTTTTAACATGTTATTAACACCAGCGCAATATGTCATTTGGTGGTCAGAATATCAGAAACAGGCTGAAATTGCTATTGCTGCAGGATTACCCAATGATAGGGTGACCCGAGACCACATTTTAGGTACGGGAACCCTTAATACAATAGCAAATCAAACCCAATCTGATAGAGCAGCTTTTGGAGTTATTAGCAAGTGTGCCTTGGCTGCAATAAAAAAGGTAGATGATTCTTCTACAGCCCAGAATCAAACATTTTCAAAAATCATCCAACAGGCGACTGAAAATTATGCAGATTTTGTAAGCGGCCTCCAATTGCCATTAGAGAGACAAATTGATAATGCAGCAGCCCGAGAAGAATTGTTGTTAAAATTAGCCTATGAAAATGCAAATCAGGACTGTCAAAAAATCCTGCAACCCATAGCCAATCGCCCTAATATCACGCTCGCTGACTTCCTTCAAGCATGTCGTATTGTAGGAACCACAAGCCACAAAATGGAAGCTTTAGCAGCAGCCTTGCAAAACAACAACCTGTTTCCTGCTTCTTTTTCCTCTTCGCCTATGCCTCACCCAACCGGAAATTGCTTTAATTCTCACAAAATGGAAGCTTTGCAAAACAACAACCCATTTTCTGCTTCCTCTTCCTTTTCACCAGCACCACGCCCGGCCGGAAATTGCTTTAACTGTGGCAAACCCGGCCATTTTAAATCACAATGTCGAGCCCCCGGGGGGGGCAAACAAGGGGCAATTTGGCCAATCATCAAAACCAAAGACAATCTGCCCAAAGTGCAAGAAGGGATTTCACTGGTCTAATCAGTGCCGTGCTTTTACTCCACAAACAAATTCCTTTCCCCCACAAAACAACCAATGGAGCAATTCGGGAAACTAATTTTGGGGCATTCGGCTAGCCCCTCACAAAAGGTCGAAGAAATAGATGACCAAGTCCTCTCTCATTCCTTTGAAATGGTAGCAGATGAAACTGTCACCTATACTTTGCCTGCTCACGTTTATCATCTTTTCATTTCCCCACGACTCAAGCTTACCTTGCCTCCAGCATTGCCTGTGTTAATTTTTCCAAATCTTGATCTGACATCTCAAGGAGTAATCACAGCTCCTTTCCTGCGTACTTCTTCCTCTTTTTCGGATCTCACTTTAGCTATTATGATTAATTCTCCGATAACTGTCACCAAAGGGGAAGTGGTCGCCACAATGATTGTTTTGGAAACTGCTTCTGACACATTAGCATTGGAGCAAGTTGTTCGTGGCAACCGTCCCATAGCAAAGTTTAAACTCAATGGGCGTTCTTTTTCTGGTCTTTTAGACACTGGAGCAGATGTCTCAGTAATCCAGTCAGCAGAATGGCCCTCCCAGTGGCCCACTGACGCCGCCCCATCCGTCAGAGGAGTAGGCGGAACCCAAACAGCTCGAGTAAGCTCAAACTGGATTGCTGTCACCTCTGATTCCAGTGCTGTGACTTCTTTTGTGAAACCTGTGGTTTTGCCTTTGCACATTAATCTGTGGGGATGAGATTTAATGTCTCAGTTCCAAGCCAAACTTTCTTTGCAATGAATCCTTTCTCTTTTGTCCTGCGTTTAGAATTAAAGCACCAGACACCAGTCTGGGTAGACCAATGGCCA